CAGTTGGTCTATAAAATACAGTATTTGCCCTCTATCCCCAATACGCCCAAAGGCGTGGAAAAGGATCCCATTACTATATGGACAAAACATCTAATGACTTGGACCATTGTCCATTACCTTTTACTGTATACTCCAGTCGACCCTGTAGCTTAGAGATTAGTGAAAGCGTTTCACAGTGCAATCTTCGAAGTTTGCCAGAAAAAAAAAGATCGTTCTCATAGCTTTCAGATAGTGGTAAGGGAGTCACACCGAGGAAGATACTGGGGCCCTAACACGGTATATTCCCATAGTTACCAGGGAATACAGTGAGCCAACCTCCATTGGGGAGACGGTGCACATTTTTAAATATCCTCTAGTTAGTTGTTTACATTAATGTTTACATCTCCAGGACAACAGCTTGTACCATGTGCCTACAGGCAAGTGTTTGACGGCTGATGGTGTTACAGACAATCTCTCCATGACTCCTTGCACAAACAGCAGCTTGCAGAAATGGCACTTTCAAGAACGAAGAACTGATCTAGGTTTTCCCCGCTATACGTAGTTTGAGGTTTGAAATGTTTTGTCTAAGCTGTTCTGCTGAATGGTAATACATGGGATCTCCGTGCCGAAGTAGTCAAGCCGTTTTTCTCGTGTTTTGAAAGACAAGAGGCCTTTTCACTGATGGTGTTTTTCAATTCACAAGTGCACTTTTTGCAGAGATACTTGTTCGTCACCGCTTAAGCTACAGAGTTCGGGCTTTGTGTGACGCTCTAGACAGGCCATTCAGCTGAGAGAGACCCAGCTATAAGAAATAACATAGTGGTATGAAGTCGATGATCTTGACGTTCAACTCTCTGAACCAGTACATCTCATGTACATTTTGGTAGAGGTTGGAAAAGAACAATAATCGCTACTTAAATTCAACAGTCTCCGTAGAAATTTCTATTACTTCCCTTACAACAGCAACTAGCGTCTTTCACGTTCGTCCAATGAAATCTGGATTCTGATATATTTTATTGTTTTTCATACTTATATCCAAGATAGTTAAACGTTCCATACACCGTTTTCTTCATCTTACAGTTAGCATGCGGTGTTGCGTAGATTGGCCATTGGGCCTAAAATGACACCTTCTGTTAGGCACAGCTCAAGCAATGATAAGTTTTAAAAAGATTTGACAGTTGGTTACCAGTTTAACCTAACACCCACTTTCATGACTTCAAATAGGTCTGATCATATGGATAAAGTGATACTCCAGTTGTTCATGAAATGTCCATCCTACATGCTATCTCAAGTAGAAAGAAAGAATTGAATTGAATAAATAAATATGTCCCAAACAATGTTTCCCTGGTGCGAATTTAAATAATGCCAAAACAAATAGTACATTGTTAAATGTAATGCACGGTATTTCCGCTACTTCTCGTCACACACATTACTACCATCAACACATAATAAAGAATTAAGTAATAGTCGTCCCATATGGGATGCAGTTTTTTGTTATTTGAAGCCTCACCCTGGCTTTATCCGGGGGTTCTAAATGTAGCCAGGCCATGAATATGGCCTGGTTGCTGAACGGGGTTTCTGGGACCTTTCCACGGATGATCCTCATCCTCATGGTGGTACTTTGTGTCATCAGGTGTTTGTCGCTTTGTGTGATGTCCTGGTGGGGTATAACATACATACATACATACATACATACAAACACACATACAGACAGACAGACAGACAGACAGACAGACAGACAGACAGACAGACAGACAGACAGACAGACAGACAGACAGACAGACAGACAGACAGACAGACAGAGATGTGCCTGCCTGCCTACCTAGAAGATTTTTTTTTTCTATAACATAACATAACCTTTGACCTGTTTGGGTCGTTGAGGTGTATTGATGAAGCACTAGCACATAAAACCCGACATCTTTCTCTGTCTTCTGCTTGATAAATAGGTGTTTGATAACTTAGTGAAGATCCCTTTTCACGCCTTAGGTGCATCAGGCACATAGGAAGAGCACCCATGTTTTTACAGTCTTTTTCTCTATAAAGTTCTTGCCGTGTGGCACTGGTAGTCAGGTCTATCCACAACCTTCTGTTTCGTGAACTTTCAATCAGCTCTGGCACAGATGGTTCTCCACGCCTTGATGTCACAGTGTCGAGCATCTGTTCTCTTTGTCTCCCTCTGCCTCTCACCCCCCAACTTTCCTAGCGGCACGATGTATTCCACGCCTCTCATCCCCTCCAACGTTCCTAATGTCACGATTTATTCCACGCCTCTCAACCTCTCCAACTTTCCTAATGTCACGATTTACTCCACGCCTCTCATCTCCTCCAACTTTCTTAACGTCACGATGTACTCAACGCCTCTCATCTCCTCCAACTTTCCTAATGTCACGATGTACTCCACGCCTCTCATCCCCTCCAACTTTCCTAATGTCACGATGTACTCAACGACTCTCATCTCCTCCAACTTTCCTAATGTCACGATGTACTCAACGCCTCTTATCCCCTCCATCTTTCCTAACGTCACGATGTACTCGACGCCTCTCATCCCCTCCATCTTTCCAAACGTCACGATGTACTCAACGCCTCTCATCTCCTGCAACTTTCCTAACGTCACGATGTACTCAACGCCTCTCGTGTCCTCCAACTTTCCTAACGTCACGACGTACTCAACGCCTCTCGTGTCCTCCAACTTTCCTAACGTCACGATGTACTCAACGCCCCTCATCTCCTCCAACTTTCCTAACGTCACCATGTACTCAACGCCTCTCATCTCCTTCAACTTTCCTAACGTCACGATGTACTCCACCCCTCTCATCTCCTCAAACTTTCCTACCGTCACGATGTACTCCACCCCTCTCATCTCTTCCAACTTTCCTAACGTCACGATGTACTCCGCCCCTCTCATCTCTTCCAACTTTCCTAACGTCACGATGTACTCAACGCCTCTCATCTCTTCCAACTTTCCTAACGTCACGATGTACTCCACCCCTCTCATCTCTTCCAACTTTCCTAACGTCACGATGTACTCAGCGCCTCTCATCTCTTCCAACTTTCCTAACGTCACGATGTACTCAACGCCTCTCATCTCCTCCAACTTTCCTAACGTCACGATGTAATCCACCCCTCTCATCTCTTCCAACTTTCCTAACGTCACGATGTACTCAACGCCTCTCATCTCCTCCAACTTTCCTAACGTCACGATGTACTCAACGCCTCTCGTGTCCTCCAACTTTCCTAACGTCACGATGTACTCAACGCCCCTCATCTCCTCCAACTTTCCTAACGTCACCATGTACTCAACGCCTCTCATCTCCTTCAACTTTCCTAACGTCACGATGTACTCCACCCCTCTCATCTCCTCAAACTTTCCTAACGTCACGATGTACTCCACCCCTCTCATCTCTTCCAACTTTCCTAACGTCACGATGTACTCAACGCCTCTCGTGTCCTCCAACTTTCCTAACGTCACGATGTATTCAACGCCTCTCGTGTCCTCCAACTTTCCTAACGTCACGATGTACTCAACGCCCCTCATCTCCTCCAACTTTCCTAACGTCACCATGTACTCAACGCCTCTCATCTCCTCCAACTTTCCTAACGTCACGATGTACTCAACGCCTCTCATCTCTTCCAACTTTCCTAACGTCACGATGTACTCAACGCCTCTCATCTCCTCCAACTTTCCTAACGTCACGATGTAATCCACCCCTCTCATCTCTTCCAACTTTCCTAACGTCACGATGTACTCAACGCCTCTCATCTCCTCCAACTTTCCTAACGTCACGATGTACTCCACGCCTCTCATCTCCTCCAACTTTCCTAACGTCACGATGTACTAGAGTTTTCTCCTTCTCATCACAGAGAGTCCTACTGGGTTCAATCAGGACCTGATGACATCCTAATATATCTCCCCTTTGAGGTGAGATCAAGGTAATAATATTAAGTATTTAAAAAAATGGTAATGCCATTTCAGCTTTAACTCTTGCAGTCCCACGCAGTTTTTACTTTAACCCTTTTTCTGTCAATGAGCTGAGCTATACATACTGTAGTCTGAAGGAGTTTAACAAAAACGCTGTGGGACAGAAGTGGTTAAAATAATTTTTCGGATGCGAAGGGTTAATGTAACTGCAATCTATGATTAACGATAGAAAACGTCATGTTAGCTTTGGAATGATCAAGAAACATAAAAGGAAGTCGTGGGTACTGAAAGGTTAACATATACCAGTAACACTTGGAGAACATCGAAAAACATTAAACGCAATTTTCGAAGAAAGCAGAGGAACATTTAAATGGATGAAGAGCGAGGAAATAAAAAAACCGCTGCTGTCAACACGTATAAGACAAAGAAGATGGTAATGTTTTCGACATATCCCGAGGAGAAACAAACAGATAATCACTAAACATGTTCTGAAATGAGAAAAACATGGACTGAGGAGACGAGGACGTCGAAAAGAAACGCCAAAGAACGTTAATGATAAGAGACCAAAGATGCCAGATTGCACTGCATCTATGATAACAAATAAAATGTGTAGGATAGTGTGATAGGCTGGAGAACGCCATACACTGCTGTTTATCAGCTTGACGATTTTGGTTTGTTTGGCTTGGCCAGCCATCAGTTAATAAAAGACCTTGCTTAGTCTTTTAGCGGTCTATTTGGCTGTCGCTCTGTGGTCGGCTCAGTAGGGCCAGACACCCTGTCTGCCGTTGTTTACTGCACTTCAACGCACAGGTGTGTCAGATCGGACCAGCTGAGCGACGCTAGAGTATTGCTGACTGGCGTCGACGATCATGCATCTCCACAATCAGCGATCAGCAACTGCGTTAATCAGTTCGAGTGTTTACTCCCTGCCTGAAGATGACACGTATGAAAAACTACATATTCTCAAAGAACTAGATTATCAACATTTTATTTAACTAAAATATTCAATAACATCTTTAAAGTGATTTCGATCATTTACGATGCAAAGCTTGATGCGCTTTGTAAAGTCGATGTTATAAATCCCCACTTGCGTCAATGTTAGTACATTCACTCTTTATTTCCTATGTGTCCAGTTGTAGCTGCAACAGTAACAGTCATAAACAGTTATGTTCTTCTACTGGCTGCTGTAAATGCCTGGGAATGAGACTGGTGGCTAGACTCAGCCATTTAACAACATCTGCATGTTTAGTTTGTTATTTCTATCATATTAACCTTAATTAACCTTAACTACATACTATGTTAGGGGCAATAACTCATACAGCATGATCTCAAACAGCTCTTGTTCCCCGACGGTTAATACTCTTCCGCAAGGGAAAGCACCCTAAAGATACACAAGAGAGTAGTCGTTACGCGAGAGGTCCAAAACACTCATTATGTCAGAAACAATAATTGTGTGCTCGAGTTTGCCCCATTTAGTGGGCAGAAAGTTCCAAGATAGCAGATTTCTGAGAGATTTAGCACTCCAGGTTGCTTCCCCTCTGATAGCAACTGCGTCTAGAGCAAGCCAGTCAATACGCTTTGTTCTTCAAATTCTAATGATGTTTGAACTTGTAGCAAGGGAACAGGCACTTGCTTGATTCGTT